GTAAACCAAAAGAGCTCAAACTAGACATTTACCCAATATTATAATAATGCAAGAATAAAAATTATTTTCCACTATTGGGTACTTACTTTTGTAGCACATTGGACAACGGTACTTCCGTTTCTTTTTCTTCTTTGAAACATTTCTCGTGGTATTTTGTAAGGGCTTGAATATCCTTTCGGATTGTTTAAGACTGCTCGGCTGTGTCAAATAGTCCGGGTAATCATTACCTTCATTTTTTAGAGTCGGTAAATCACAATGCGTGTTTAAAGATTCACTCTCAGTTTTTGGCTGTACAAATTCACACGCTTCTTGCTTGATATCACTGATATTCACATATAAATCCGTCGCTTTAACTTTACAAACATTAGGTTCTTCCTTAATGTTCATAGGACACTCATAGTCTTGTTCAGTTTTTATAGGCAAACCCGAACGGGGCTCAATTTTCGGCACTTCACATTCTAAAATCTCTTGTTTAATTTCACCAATGTCTACGAACTCTTGAGGCTCAAAAGTGTCGGCTTTACTATCGAGCACATGTTCGTTTTCACACGTTTGTTCTGTTTGAACAGAATCAATGTCTGGTTCAATTTTAATAACCCCTTCATGTAGATCGAAGGGCTCTTGTTTCACGTCCATTGCTTACACCGTTTTAACTTTCAAATAAACTACAACTACAAGTTATAATTATAACAGCAACTAGAAATAGCACTTAGTTAGCTAATAAATACACTTCCTGTTAAACTCGAATAAAGATAAAGAAATGGATAAAGCGCCGCATAAGCTATAAACAATAACGACTGTCAACTGTCAACTGTCAACGTCTGTCATCTGTCATTGCTGAATCGATATTTCGTTTTCTCAATCAAGTGTCGAATGAAAAAGTTACAAGTACTTTTTATACTTATTAAAATGAATGCTTTTTTGTAAGCATGTTGCTATTGATTAAACTCGACTGAGTTTCCAAACGCAACAATAATCGCTTTTTCGTTTACAGTAAAATCAAACAGTAAAAATTTACTTGTAAAAGATGTTGCCTATACATTAGTTGCGCGTTGCGTGTATGGAAAAACTGTGATTAGTTGATGGCAATCGCGTGACCGTCGTGACCTCACATGATATTTCAAAGCAACAGACGCCATCATGTTTTCGATTCTGCCATTGTGTATTGTGAATGTAATATCGTGAGGTATGATAACGTGAAATGGAAATAACGGATGAGTCACTCATTGAAAATGTACAAATCCATCCGATTTTGTACAATTTAAAATTACCACAATACCGAGATCATAATATGCGACAAGAAGCATGGGAAGAAATAGGCAAAGAGTTAAATATGCCAGGTAAGCAGGGTAAGCTTATTGCTTGTTCAAATAGTTTTGTTTTATAATTTTATAGATGTCATAGGCGGCGCAGTAGTCTGGTAAGGGCGTCACTTTTTAAATAAAAATAGGGTTGATGTCTTTTCAAAACGTACTTATTTTCATTGACTATGAAAATTTACGCTTTTATTTTTAGCCAATTTAGTTTGTTTGTGGTCCGCTAAGCATCGGGCAAATTAAAAAAAAAAATAAAGAATATCGGAAATTGTCATTACATCCAGTGAAATTAAGTGGACATTTTTCTGTCAAAATATTGACATAGATTTGAAATTTTACTGTTAATATCAATCAATATAGGTTTTCTCACATTTTTGTTAACTTTCTGTTAGGTATTTGTCCGTTTTCACGAAAGGATTTTAGTATTTCTCATTCGCTTATTTGTTGATTATGTTTTGCTTAGTAAGTATGAGAAGGAAATTCCTTTTTCCTTTCATATTTTTTTCTACATGTCCATAACCAATGTCAGTCCATGCTTATGGAAAATGTAACATTTCGCACTAGTTGCGTCTATTACGAAAACTAAACAAGTGCACTTTTCAACAAGTTATGTACATTATTTTACCTACGACCACTTCAAAAAAAGTCTTTTTCAAATAAGAAAGTCAATTGAACAATATCACACACGTATTGAAAAGTATATCGCACATGTGTTGAAATAGATTACATTACGAGTGTGTTAAGTGATGAAGTGACATTTTTTACACGAAAGGGAAATATTGTCGCATGAGGCATAAGCCGAGCGCAACAATTATGCTAGTGTGAAAAATCACTTTCACCCAAGTGATGTACAATATTTTTCCTACGATCACAAAATAATTTAATCAAAAAAATTTAAAACTAGAAAATTTGGCTATAAAAGTTCCATCAAGAAGTGACTAGTTTTAAATTTGTTTTTTTTTTTATATGCCTTATTGAATAATTTTTAAAGTGTTTTACAGATAGTGTTTTGTCAAAATTAAAAATATTGCGATTCCATTTACAAACAAAATTTAATAGGATGATAAAGATAAAATAACATTAGCTACAAAAAATATGAGAACTGTGAAGAAAAACTTTTTTTTTATTAATGATTATCCACTTCTCTACTCGCAATTTTTTTCTGAACAATAATTGAAATAGTACAAAATAAATAGCGAAAATTATGTATTTTAAATAAATAAACAACAATAGTCCATTTTTCGTATTATTTCAAAATTAAAAAAAAAATTAATCGGGAATTGAACCAGCGTCACGAAATGGTCGCAGAATGCCAAGTTGAAAAAGCTAGACACTATACGATCGTGATATTACGGTTATGTCATTTGGTTTATCTAATTAAATATGTACATGAATCAGAAAAAATTAAAAATAATGTAGGTAGTTACATTAAAATTATTTTAATAATTTGTTAAAAAGTAATATATAAGATCTATATTTAAAGTGGAATTCATATTCACACACGGTCGGAAAGTAGATTTATCCACACGCGTGTCATATAGGTCACTTCCCAGAAGACTAAACAGTGCGATAGGTGTCACATTCATATAAGTGGTCGTAGGAAAAGTATATTTTTTATTTTGTAACCGTAGAGGTGACAAGAACTAATAGAATGATTATAAAATATTTATAACAGAAGAACAGAACAAGAACTAATAGAATAATAAGAAATAACTAAAGAAGAGATAATAACAGAATAATTTATAAAAATGTTCATCTAAAGTAGAGATCTGTATCTGTAACGTGTGGAGGGTATCCCTTAACAATGTCCAGCAGTAATCGGCACGCAAACTGGCACTCCACTTGCCTTGGTACCATTTCTCCATAGCAGAAATGACTTGGTGGAACCGTTCCCCATGTTCGTCACTTACCGCCCCTAAATTTTCGTGGAAGGAATCTAGATGGGAGTCCAGAAAGTGAATTTTAAGGGACATGTTACAACCCATTTCTTTATAGGCAGTAAGTAGTTCAGTCACAAGATCTTTGTAATTGTCAGCTTTCAGATTTCCAAGAAAATTTGCAACAACGCTTTTAAAAGCACTCCAGGCTCTTAGTTCAGTTTCATTGAGCATTTCCTCAAATGTTTTATCTTTCATTACTTCTCTTATTTGCGGACCCACAAATATGCCCTCCTTAATTTTTGCTTCAATGATTCTTAGAAGATACAAGAACCCTCTTTCATTTCTATCCATTGCCTTAACAAAATGCTTCATTAAACCCAATTTAATATGCAAAGGTGGTAGTAATACCTTTTTGGGATCAACTAGAGGTTCATTTGGTAACGTTTTTTTTGTCCCGGAGTTAGTGTCTGACGTATTGGCCACTGCTTCTGTACATAATGACGGTCTTTCGCAAGGTTGTCCCATTCGCAAAGGAAGCAACAACATTTCGTATATCCTAGTTGCATTCCAAAAATAAGGTCTATTACTTTTAGGTCTCCACATATTGCCCAACCATACTCATGATAACGGATGTGCTCTAAAAGAACTCTCACATTCTTATATGATTCCTTCATATGAACCGCATGAGCTAAGGGCACAGATGGATATTCGTTACCGTTATGAACCAATACCGCCTTTAAACTAGGTTTAGAGGAATCAATGAATAGACGCCAATCACGTGAATCATCTTTCTGTCCTACTGCGTTAAACAAAAGGTTAACTTCTGAACAGTATACTAGATCCCCTTCTTGAAGAAAGCAATTTGTGAGGTCTTTCTGCCTTTTTCTGTAAAAAGTAATCTTTACATCACTTTGGAGAAGATTCCCACCTTTTAGTCTCGATGCTAAAAGTTCGGACTGTGGGTGATAGAAAAATTATGTTTTCAGATTTGACTTCAGGTTATCAAACTGCATTAGAAACACCTAAAAATTTTCATGTCACAAATTATGTGTCTATCAGTGTATTCACTAACCATTTGTGGAACATTCCTGTTGGTTAGTGAGTGTATTATCTTTAGGAAGGTGGTTTTATCAAAAGCACCTTCTATGTCTATGAAAACACCCAAGGCGGACTCCTTATTGTCCAGAGATCTTCCTATCCGGCCAGCAACTAGATGAAGGGCTGAATCAGTAGTTCTGCCTGGGGTGTATGCATGTTGCTTTGGGTAGTGGTGTTGTAATCACCGCATCCCTTATGTACCTTTCGCACAGCCTTTCCAATGTCTTCATGGAAAACGATGTCAGACTAATTGGTTGGTATGTTCTTGGGACAGTGTAATCCATCCTTCCAGGTTTGGGTATAAATACCACATTTACCTCTCTCCATTTTTGTGGAATATACCTCAGAGCCAACGAGGGTCTGAATATACCCACCAGGTGCGGTGTGAGTCCTTCCAAACCCCACTGAAGTAGGGCTGGATAGATACCGTCAGGTCCTGGCGATTTAAATGGAGAGAAGCTGGATATTGCCCATCTAATTTTTTCATCGTCTACAATATGTTTGGCAGTTTGCTAATCATAGACAGATGTATTGTATTCTTCCTCTGCCTAGTCCGCCACGTCTGTGATGACCAAGTCAGGGAAGTGTGTTGACAGCAGAAGTTTGATGTCATCTTCGAGGTTGGCAGTTTTCGTGCTATCCTCTTTGATTAGCGCACCAATGCTTCGGTGTGGATCTTTTGAGAGAGCTTTTTGAAGCCTCGCTGCCTGCGGGAAATCTTCGATTTCTTCGCAGTAGGATCTCCATGCATCTAAAGTAGAGATAATAATTAAGTAATAGAATAATAAAAACTAAAGTAGAGATAGTTAACATCTAATATATATTATATATTTTTACTTTTCTATACATGTGTGTTTTGTTTCTTTTCAATACAAACTATCATTTTCATATGTGGTCGTAGGAAAAATCATATTTACTTTGTGATTGTGATATGAAATGTGAATAAGTGATTGAGCCTGATTTATTTAGTTATGCTTGTAGGATCTGTATAAAAAATGTTTATACCGTTAATTTAAACCATTAATATTAATTTCTTCTATTACAGCTGAAACTCTCAAAAAGAAATGGGATAAACTGCGCAGGTGCTACATAAACGCGCTGAGTAGGCGTCGAACAAGAAGAGAAGATTCGACCAAAAACATACATCCTTGGAAATACGAATTGCAAATGTCATTTCTTTTACCTTTCATAGAAAGCAGGAAACAACATTCTTTAAATTTACCCAACAATGTTGAGATCTTTATAGAAGACAGTGATATCCAGAATGAAAATAAATACGATACCGCTGAAGATCAGGATCAAAAATTCGACACAAGTTTATATGAAAACGACGATTCATCAAATTTGAGTGCAAAACTATCATTACCTTCTGTCAAAAGGCTCAAACTTATGAGATCTGATAATGCTTATCAGGAAGCTGTAAACGTATATAATGAAGATGTTAGTAATCGAAAGTTTAATGAGACATATTCAGCGACTTCTATTCTGGATATGGACGAAACTGATATGTTCTTTATCAGTATGTCAAAAATGACAAAAAAGTTAGCACCTATAGATCAAGCGAAAATTAAATTATTGCTGAGTAATGCTGTTTTAAGTGCTCAAATAAGCATGTCCGAAAATCAATCCGAAGCTTCAAATTCCAAGATGTGCTCAGATTAATCATTTTTAAAATAACTCAAGATAATTGATTCCCAAGCAAAGTTTGTGTCAAGTTATTTTGTTACTACGGTAACCAGGTGACAAAATTACTTTTGTAAGAAATGATTCTATACTATTCTACTGAAGGCCTTCAATAATTCTGTAAGGAGAGCCAACAATTGTGTAATGGAAATGGAAAAGGCTGAAAGTGCCACAAAGTAAAATTTTCAGTATTCAATAAAAACTTCATAAAACTTATATTGTATCCTTTAAAAATCTATAAAATTCATTAAAAATGCAAATATATTTTTATTTGTTTTTCAAGAGTTGTTTTTTTTTATTGTTCATATATAACTTGATTTTTTACGTGAAAAGCTGAAAGTGCCATCATATCTTTTTTTGGGAAACGCTGTAAGTGCCATACCTTGTTAGTTAAAAGGCTGGAAATCCAGCGTTCATTACACGTAAAGGATGAATGTTCATAGTGGTTTAAAAAATACAAATAAATATTATAAAAAATAAACTCATATTTTAAATAAAAAAGACTCACAATCATGTACATATTGTCTCTTTCTTTCTTTCTTTCTTATCTTCTATTCCCCACCTTCTCATTCTACTAGTCGTCTTCTGCTTCCTCCTGATTGTCGTCTTCTTCTTGTTCCTCCACTGCAGGCTGCTGAGGTCCATGGACAATGGCCCTGTAGAATTACTTGTCTTCTTCTTTCTCCAGGCATTCTATCATTCCCTCTAGATCCTTTTTCTTCTTTTGAGATATCTTATTTGAATTGAATTTTTGGTAACTCATCCACATCGGGAAGATCTTCAAGATTTGCATTTTTCTTTAGAACATCTACCTTGTCCCAAGTTACCATATTATCACTTTCCTTTACCAAAACTGATGCCACTTTTACAATACCAGGATTCTTGTGCGAAATACGAAAATGTAAAATTTTACCGATTCCAAGGTTTTTAGTGTTGAGGTACTTCTTAGCAAGCTCTTTAAAATCTGTAAAATCCTCAGATTTCATCGAAACAACAGTAAAGGGTTTTTTACACACTCAGTAGCAACAACATGTTCAAGATATTTTGGGACCATTGCTTTGCATGTTTTGCGCCACTTTTCAGTGAGACCTAAGTCCCGGTCGCAGTTCATGTAACTATGTCCACTAACCAAGTACTTTAAATCTATTGAGCAATAAAACTCTTTTTTTTACCAAGTAAATTACTGCCATTAGGAGGAACTGGTTCTTGTTTTGTGCTCCACAGTTGTCACACCATAAAACTAACCTTCTTCTTGTTAACAAGGCCTCAGAGGTAACAACCTTAAAGAAGCAAGATAAGATCTCATTGGCCCCTCGACCACCAATCCCTTCGTGCCACATACACATATATGCAAACCCATGGTTACTCACATGAATTCCCAAGTTGTAACATGAGAGCTGCTAACAGTAAAAAATATCACTGTGTGTGAGCATTGGTGCAAACATAACTTGTTGCAAGTCTGTAAATAAGCCGTTATTATTACTACTTGGAAGTTGTGATGATACGATGTCTTCCTTCATACACGCTTGTGCTTTTTCTGCTTTACTTTTATGGCATTTTCACTGGTTGCTGTTTGAGTTTCGACTTTAAACACGTCACATTTCTTACAAGTGTCTGTTGCTAAACATTTGCATTTTAGTTTGGGATAAGTCTTGTTGAAAAACTTGAGCATAGTTTTTGTAAGTTATTTTAGTTGTTGGATTTTAGGCTTTGAAAGATAAATATACGGTTTGTGTTTAGGCCCGGAGATAGAAACTCATTTGTTATTCTTTTACGGGAATAGTGGCTTTCATACCTGGGAAACGAATTAATGTGGTGTCGAACTAGATTGCAATCATTTTCTGTGAACTTAACTTTATGTTCATGTGAATGTGGATTCTGACCTTTAATATCTTTGTAAACCAAGCATCCCTGTTTCTTTTTTGTTTGAAGAGTTTGTAGTTTCCTGGGAGTTACTCCGAAAATCTGACGACATGTTTTACTACACACTTGAACATTTTTACTCGAACCATCTGGCATACTGTAAGTAAAACTGCAAGGACGCCTCCTTTCTTCTGGGTCATCATAATTTCCATTACGCCTTCGGCCGACAGGTACAAGTTGCATATGGTTTAGTATGTAGGTACCTTGATTTGTTCATTAACTATGAACAGTAACTGTTTTTGGTCATGAGTCAAGTTTTTTCAAAAGTACTTGCATGAGCAAGTGGCGACATCAGGGGGGTAAGTTTACCTGGTACTTTTTTCCTTTACTAGTCGTATAAGGCTGTCCTTTTTCTCGTGCTTTCCTCCTTTCTTTTCGAAGGTGGGCTTTCTTCGGCGGAGGGGTTTGATTTTCACTCATTTTGAAATCACAACAAATGTAAACTTTTCACAAAACACACACTATAACAGCAAAAGTGCACAAACTATTAGCAGTACGCGAAAACGTAGGAACTACGTAACACTTGTTATTCGCACGCGCCAAAAGTAACTACTGCAATGGAAAGGCCGAAAGGCACATTCATCATGGCGGGTGGCACTTTCAACCTTTTTCACTGACGGTCAGCGGGCGCTTTCACGGTGCTGCTCTAGGAACTAGTAGGACTTTTTCTGGCACTTTCAACCTTTTCTAGGTTATTGGCGATGTCACAACACATTCCATGCAAAAAATCGATTTTTTATTTTTTGGCACTTTCAGCCTTTTCCATTTCCCCTACACAATTATTGTTAACAAATTTTTTTGAAATACTAATTAAAATGGCAACATCAGCTGATCGTCTCCTGCATCCGCCATTTTGATATCTTAATTTGTATTTCAACATAATTGAAAACAAATTTTGTTATAATAATATGAAATTAAACCCATTTTAAAACAAATGAATAACTTTTTTCATATTTTAACACATAAAATAAAATTTTTCGTGATCGCAGCAAGTAACAAGTTAAAAATAATATAATTTTGTTGTGTTTTTCCACCGCAACATTTCACTAAGGCGTGTTTGGTCCAAATGTAGGGCGGATAAAGATGCAGTTAATTTAATAATAGTGAATGATATTCGCAGAATAATTACTCTAAAATCTTACCATTACCATTTATATAAAACGGTTTAAAATAATATGTTTAATTGCATTTAAAGAGATCCTGACATAAAACAAAAATATTTTTGTAATAAATTTAAATGCATATTAACAACACATTTTGGAGTCATTACACTTTTCTGACATTTAACCTGCATATAATTGACTTCTTCATCTATATATCCTATTAGTTATGGCTCACCCTGTACAGGCAAGCACATAATCAACAGTGTATATTATGGAGTTCAATAAATACTACTTCCGGATGTATAACGCATATATTTAACAATTGAAAGCTTCTATAAAATGTAGAACAAATATTTTTACACAACCAATCGATGCCTTCAAAAAAACACATTAATTACCACTCTCCACCTAACTATGTATAGCATCAATGCATTATATACACTGATAAATATTTATACCGAACCATAACTCTTAGCCCGGATCACGATGGATCTTGAAGTTTAAAATTAGGACAAAATTTCTAACGTGGCGTCTTGATTTAATTTTTTATTTTATTCTACAATACCTACAGAAAAAATGGAAAAGGAATACATTAAGGGGGCATTGTTACTTCACGTATGCTTATTATTGTTTTATGATTTTTTAACATAGGTATCTAATCAGTAATCGCGAGGACGACTCGGAGTTTTTATATGACTCGGATAATTCCATAGGCGTGCTTAACACATTGGGATTATATTTTAAAATATTTTTTTTACAATATGTGTAACGGTATTCCACCTAGATGTAGACACATGTGTGTGCAAAGGTTGAAGACTTAATAAACATAATAGACTAACCATCAGTGACGAGAAGGCTGGCGAGAAAGGTGACACACCCTATATACTTAATCCAAATATATATTTATATTATAATACAATGTAATGTTTCTGCTTTTTGTATTCTAATAGAAATATATATTTGTATTAAGTATATAGGGTGTGCCTTTCAAAAGTAGCCTCTGTAGCCTCCTCGTAGACTAGGCCTCTAAGACTAACCTATAAATTAAATTTTAATTAAAGTACAAATAATATACATAAATTAGAGAAAGATAAGAAAAAGAAAACAAACAATTATAACATTGCAAAATTAAAAGTATTTCCAAGAAACTTTTTACATTATCTCGAACAAATTTTAATTGTGTTTTCGATGTAGATTCTAAGAGAAGAAACATAGTTATTTTTGCTAATATTTAAATCGAACTGGCGCCCATGATTATTTAGTTTGCGTACTGTAAATTTGGTACTAAACGGATATCTTCTCCACTCGGAGCGCAACCAGCTGCCAACGGATAGACGAAACTTCTGCGTTACCTTTAGCCATCCTTAATAGTTGTAGCTGCCTTTGCAGTTTTATTTTGCAGGTAAATTATAAGGTAGGTAACAGATTATTGTTCCACATTATTTTGTCCAAAGAAGATTATAAAGAAAAACCTTTCTTTTTTAATAGACATAGAAATCGTTTAAAAAATAGTTGCATTTTTTGTCACACTGGTCATTTATAAACGATGTACAGCAGTCATTTCTTTTTCTTAATGTAAGGAGTTACCACTGTAAGGCGTTACATTAGAGTTTGTTTGTATTTTTTACTTTAATCTCTGTTGTTATGTTTAATTGTAGTTTAGTTAGCTAGGTAATTATTTTCAACGGTGTTTTGTTGAGTGTTATAGTTGTTTTGTTTTCTATTAAAATTTGACATTTAACCTAACAATTCTAATGTGCACTGTTATGTTTATTCCGTATATTAGGGACCGTGCGTCATGACTTTAACGCCAACTGGTGACAAAAATGTGAATTTTATAGAGGGATTTATTAATGTTTTATACGGCATTTATTGTTTAGTAATTATTAATTAAATAAATTCGAATTATTTTCGTAATATCATTATCGAAAAAACTTGTTGCATACGTGGATGTACAAACACATCACTTTGGAAACCTGGATTTGATTCGATAGTAGAGAAATTTTATAAATTTCCACAAAACACACTTAGTGCTTCACACCCAATGATATACATAATTACATAGATTGCTTATCAATATGTAAACCAGACGGCGAAAAGCGTATTTCAATGGGCAAAGTTTTCTTTTTTATCTATCTTGTATTAATTTTGAGCAGTTAGTTGTAAATAAATTATTTACAAACTTTA